TTTTGCAAGGGCCATGACACCGGGGTGTAATAAAGCAGGGTTATCGTTTTTGTAGCTGTGAAAGGCGCATATAGTAAGACTCCCTCGGCGTCAGAGAAGAAACTGCTGTCTGTTTGACTGAAACGGAGCAATGACTCAATGCGCTCTCCTGCCAAATACCATCAGGTGACACACGAGTGACTAAAAATGGATTGCTTCCGGAGTGGCGACAAAACTACTGCGGCTCCCCACCCCTCGACCCTACAAGGTGAGGGGTTCCTAACGGGCAGTGTTGGTGTCAGATGACCGCTAAAGCCTTGCCTTATACAGAGTCCCAATAAATTAACAAAGTAACAGGAAAGAACCTTCCCCTATCACACACACACTTTCATGTAAACTGAATCTGAACGAAATTTAAAGTTTGAGCACACCTTCAAGGAGGAGGGAGGGATCCCACCCGTCACCCTCTCTTGAAGTTTTTCTATTAAATACATTTCTGTGTCTTAGAAAAATAAAAAGAACGGCCAGTTTATTGAATCAAAATGATCTCACAGACTTAAAAGCATGCCCAGCAAGCACAGCCCTGTAAGACTACATTAATATGAAATTAAAGCAATTTGGTTACTAAAATCAACCTGGTTGGAAGTTCACAGTTGATGACTACAAAGTGTACCCATTCCTTTCTTTCCTTTTTTTTTTTGTTTTTTGTTTTTGTCTTTTGTTTTTGGCCCATATAAAAATAACATATTGCAACTCAAAGTGCATCTTTTTAAAATAAACCATCAACTATCTTTATCAAATAAAATATTTACACCATTTGGTTTCTAGTGAGGAAAAGCTCTTTCAGGCTATCACCATGGGGACGTCGTCTGAAAATCCAGTTATCATAGGAGCATCCTCGTCATCTTCCCCTAAAGGCAAAACAGTCGGTCCTTGGTAAGTTCCAGAGCACTTGCACCCAACCCCGACACCCACCCCTCCGCCCCAGCCGCCCCCAACACCGTCGCGAGCCCCAGCCTGGAAGATCGGTACCACGGCCCTCTAGGCACAGGGGTCTAAGCCGAAACCGAGCTCAGCTGACCCTTGACGCTCTTGGGTCACCTTCTCCCCGTCCATGGGTGACCAAGCTTATTTTAATGGTAGCTTGAACTTAACCAAAGAAAGAAAGGAAATCATTTAGGAAGGAGAACCTTATGACCTATCCAAAAGTCCAACGGGTGACTTAGGTTCCCTAATTGGAGTTATCCACACCCTACAACAACACTGTGAGCTTCTTTATCTGTTTTCTCCTCTGAACCCACACTGCTCTGAGGTAAAGGACCTCAGAGGGGTTGAAGCTATCTGAGGGCAGCTTCCCAGACTAAAGGATGTCCCCTCGTGGCCTCCGGTACAATCCTGTACAACCAAGTCACGATCAACCTTCAGTGATCACCGTGTGGTACCATTAACTTCTTTTGCCCCAGTAACGGAAGCAAAGAACCCGCCCCATTCACGCAAAGCAGACCAAATACTTGTACTGAGCAAGACAGGAAACTGAGAAGAGGAGGGAGCAAAGCTAATATCAAATGATCAGTGATCGGGGAATATACAAATACCTTTATAAACAAAAAAATATTATAGTTGGTTTACAGGGAAAAAAGTAGGTATGTAAAGTCACAGTCCACATGTCCGCGCTCGGGGACGACCCCAAAACACGCCTAACTTATTATATCAAGCGGTCCACTAGCTCTACAGCATTTCGTAATTATAATGAGCACGTAGACGTTTTAAAAGAGGTATTTCTTTCTTTCTTCCATACCACGTAATGGGTACGTAAAAAGCAGAATGACTGGGGAGGTGCCCCTAGCGATCGGAAAGGGGCACAGCCAGATGGAAAAGGCTTCTCTGGACGGAAGTCAGTTGGGAAGGCGTGACGCCTGATCTTGACCGGGCTCTTCAAGGACGCCGGACCTCCGGGTCCGGGAAGGATGGAGAGGGGTTGGGAATTCCTGAAAACCTGCTGACACCTCGGGGGTATCGAAAGCCCAGGGCCTATCGATCGACCCTTCCGTACTTCCTACTCAGGCCACCGGCTTGGAGGGGGTCCGCGCGGGGAGGAAGAGCCAGGGCACCCGCCCCACTTACCCAGGTCGTCCCCGGAGGAGAAGATGGCCGAGCCCAGCCTGGAGCTGTAGTGGCTGTTGGCGAAAGCGGTAAAGCTGCTCCGCAGCCTCCGATGCTTCGTGTACAGGACGGCAAACCCCACCGCCAGGCTCAGCAGTATCAGGAACAGGATGGGTACCACCACGGCGGCCACATCCGTAGACCTGGCCGCCCGGGCCGCGGACGCACCCGCACCTGCCAACGTTAAGACAGCCACGCATGAGCCCCCTCCGCAAAGGCAGCAGAGCCGCCCGCCGAGAAAGCGGGGAGTTTGCCGGTTACCCGAACCGCCTGCCCGGTGTGACGAGTTCCTGCCTGTGACGGCCGGCTGGGTCCCCACGCCGTGCCACAAGCCGAGAGACCACGGGCCTTGTGCATGCAAATACGGTAATTACGTTAGACTCCTAATCACTGCCTTGTTGTTGATTTAGATAATATCCTGGAAGGGAGACCTTTGTTGGGGTAGCAACACTGATTTCGTTAGCGTTCTTACTTAAGACCACTCGCTGGCCTTACATAAGAGGATGTGAAATCAGACCACTAATTAACGAGGTTGCAATTATTTCCCCCTACTCGGCACCGAAGTCACTCTGAACTGCAATTACCTGAAGCTCCGTCGAGTGATACAAACAAGATCCCTTAACTGCAACACTGACTTAACAGCTCATGAAGTTTTATGAGGTTTTTTTTCCCTTACTTAAATAAGAGAGAGAGAGAGAGAGAGAGAGAACCCTTCCATATATGCTTAACGTTTTAAAAATCCACTTGGCAAAGCCATTTAGGTGTCTGTAACCTGACAATGATGCCCACTTCCCACTATCTTAAACAAATTCTCACTTTATGATGATGTATAGATAGATTTGTACCAATAGGGCCCGAGGGCAAAGCCATCCCCCTGCTGGGTTAGGGCCAGTCTTAAAAAATCCCCGGGGAGGGGGCGCCTGTCGGTTAAGCGTCTGTCTTCGACTCAGGTCGTGATCTCACGGTTCGTGGGTTCAAGCCCCGTGTCGGGCTCCGTGCTGACAGCTCGGATTCTGGAGCCTACTTCGGATTCTGTGTCTCCCTCTCTCTGCCCCTCCCCTGCTCGTGCTCTGTCTCTCTCAAATAAACAAACGTCAAAAAAAAAAATTTTTTTTTTTAATTCCTGGGGAAAGTCTGAGTGAGGCAGGAAAATGGAGCTTGGGAGTCCGTTTTAGCTAAGGAAGCAAAGTGGACCTTCCCTGTCCTATGAAGAGTTGAGGCAGTTCCCTGGTTTGGGGCAAGGTGCTGTGGCACAGGCCTGTGCCTCAGAGGGAAGGCTCAGTAGCCACCCAGGGGTTCATCCCAACAAGGTGCTCAACCAGATGGGCCAGAGAACAGCCATTTCTTGCGAGCCTCATCTAACAACTCAAGACGCATGTCTTTAAATTCTTTCGTTATTGACCTACGGGGAAAAGCCGTAGCAGAATCTTACTTCATACGTCCCAACGTAACCCCAGCTGTGAAGTGGCAAACTAGGGCAATGCTCTTGCCTGGAACGGTGAAGAGGAACCAGTGTGGCGGAGGAAACAAGAATGAGTGGGCCCTCACCTCCCCCACCCTGCTTCTGTGGTGGAAAATGGAGGCCTCACTGAGAGATTCTTTCTGCTGGACGATCTTGGTTTTATAAAGGCAACAGTTGTTTTCCCCCCGGAGTCTATTTCACAGTTGCTAATTGGTTTTGCTTAAAAAGGAGGCTCTATTTAGGAACTGCTAGGTTAACAAGACTTCTGTTGTGTGTTTTCTGTAAGACCTTCTCAGAACCTCTAATACGCTATGATTCTCCAAAGGGGACACGGTCTGCAAGGTCGTCCTCCCTCAGGGAGGTGCCTGGGAAACATGACATGACAGAACGCACAACAACTCTAACGCAAGACTTTGGCTTAAGCATCGGTGAGCTCCCGGCTGGGAGTAAATGGAACTGAAAAGACCAGTGGCAAAACGTTGGCTGAAATGCTGACCAAGCTACTACGATACAAGCAGCATTTCTGTGCAAATGAAAGGTTCCTCTCCCCTGCCCCACCTCTGCCCTCGGCATGACCCAACACTGGTATCTGTGAGTGTTTTATAAGACAAGATGCCAGGCCAAATTCAGGTTCTGATCTGGACTGGCAGCTAAGACGAAGGGGGAGGCTATACAATCGGTTACTCTATGGGAAGGAGATTATCTACTACTGACTTGGAAGAATCCCAGGGAATATTAGCATACTAGAGGCTCTGAGAAGTCCTGCAAACAACAAGCAGTAGCACTCACACTAACCTAGTGTTTCCCAAGCAGAATCTCCTTTTTTTAACAAAACCTACTGCTAACCTATGCCCTTTTCTAGGCTCTACATTCAGAATTTGGTCACACGGTAACTCCAGCTCCTCACCCCATGCCTGGCTCGGGAAATATTTGTTAAATAAATCAGTGCCTGATTACACGGATGCACAAATGACTTTTTTGAACTGAAAGAATATTTTAATTTTTTTTTAACGTTTATTTATTTTTGAGACAGAGAGAGACAGAGCATGAACAGGGGAGGGGCAGAGAGAGAGAGAGACACAGAATCTGAAACGGGCTCCAGGCTCTGAGCTGTCAGCACAGAGCCCGACGCGGGGCTCGAACTCACGGACTGTGAGATCATGACCTGAGCCGAAGTCGGACGCTTAACCAACTGAGCCACCCAGGCGCCCCTGAAAGAATATTTTAAATGTGCGTAAGAAAGACACATATTCATCAGACCACGCCACATCCTTCATCTGTTTCCCCAGAGGTGAAGATGGAAAGTGGCCACACGAGCGACTCACCAGACCCCAGTTCGTCATACAGCAGGACAGCAGGCTCCCCACAGATCTGGCTGCCAAAAAGGCATCTTGCTTGCACAGTGAAAGTGTAATTATGACCCAATTTCAGGTTGGAAATTTTAAAGAAAGTGTCAGTAGTATTCCCAAGGTAAGCTGAGATATTCATGGCTCCATCCAACATGTGTATCTCATAGCCCTGAAAACAAAGACACGAGAGATTGTGCAGGAAGTTAAGTAAGGAATCTGACAGCTTCTATTACTGGTTCCAACTTTATGTGAGCTCCTTACTGCAGGCTTTTATAGATGCGAAAGCACTTTGGGTTTCTTACTAGATCTTTTTACATTACCACTGAGATACTGGATTCAGAAAATGGCAATTTTCCCATCCCAAATAACTACCACGCCCACTTGTGAGCTGCAAAGTGGAAAAGTATAGCCCTAATAAAAGCCATTTTAATAAATATTTTGGTACACATTCAAAGTTCTGGTCAAGAGTCCACTCATCTCAAGCAATATGAAATGCAACAAAGAATCTGGACAATTCAGCAACAGTTTGCTGTAATGTAATGGGATTTGACTCACAATAAATCCGGGTCGTGGTGGGACTCCAGCAGCAGGGCTGGAAAAGTCAGGACATTTCTAGGGAGAACAGTGTGTGGGAACTTCCTTGTCAGCCCACAGCTCACTCCCCAGCTCCTCACTTTCTAGCTCTTCCAGGCTGATGGTGGCCCCAGAACAACTTGGCCTTGACTAGAAAGCACTTCAAAATTAGGGTGGGGACAGAACGGACTCCTGGACTTCTCTGATAACCTCCCAATATTCCAGTGTCAAACCTACCAACTCCCACCCCACCAGCACCAAAAAAAAGACCTCCTCTCTTAGCTCTATCCACATATTGGGCCCCACTGCATACTCACGGACTCTTGGTCCCCATTCCATTGACCTGTCTATTCTCTGAACTCTAAGCCAGGGGGAGAGAAGAAGGATGCGCTATATGCTTATGCCAGAACCCTCCCCTGGGAGTCAAACACTGACCTGTCACCTCCACCTAAAAGCTGGGCCATGAGGCGGACCATTGGCTGCCAAACTGGGCCTCCCAACACCCCCTACCTGGAATCCTGTCCCTCCATTCTTCTTTAGAAACTAGCATTGATTGCTTCTATCTAGCACGTATTTGCTGTAGAGAGCGTGCAACATACATAAAGGTGTAAAGAAAAACATTCAAATGATACAAACGTCGGTCATTCACTTAATTAACTATTAAATATCCTCTTCTCTTAGACACTAAAGTTATTTCCTCTTTCTTGCTATCAGAAATAAAACAAGGCCCTCAACAGAGCCTTGTACATAAATTCTTTATGCACATCGTTTCCTGAGAATAAAATCCTGAAAGAATTGCCAGGCCAAAGGATGCGAACGCTTTTTATTTCTGACATGGATCACCAAAGTGCCTTACAGAAAGGCTGAACCAATTTGTATTCCCAGCATGCTAATCTCCCCAACTACGGCTCATTCTGGTAATACTCTCCCCCCCCCCCCCCGCCAAACTTAGCTGATTTAATGTGGAAAGGGTCCTATCTTTGTTGTTCAGATCACCAGTGAGATTGATCCTTTTCTCTTTTGCCCACTGCTGCTGGAGTTTTTACTGTGTTACCGGTACCTTTTCCAGAATCAGAATATTAGTCTTCTGAACTCCTTTGAAAGCTTTCTTTATATTTGAGTTTATTAACCACGTATAGGTCCCGGCAGGGAGAGTTGTGAGGATTTTCAAATTTTACTCTGGCTTTGCTTCTGGCGTTACAGGGTGACCATTTACAACCCCAGCGCCCTTTACCGACGCTGTGCCGCGAAAGAGCCACAGTGGATTTGTCGTGTCTCTGTTCAGCTTGTGCTTTGCTGACAACGGGGACAAGCCAGGTCCGCTCAAGAACCTGTCCACCCTTGGGTGACAGATCGGCAGATCTACTCGCCCTCCTCCTCCCTCCCATCTCCCGTTGCGAATACAGTCATGGGTCTGCCAGTGACAAAACAAAACAAAACAAAACAAAACAAAACAAGTCTTTTCTGTATGTTGACGGACTATCTGCAGGTACTTCTTGCTCCCTCGGACATCACCGGAAAGAAACCGCGATGCCACGGCACGGATGTAGCTCAGTCCCCGGCACTGAAGCCACGGCCCTGCTCTGGGACTGTCAGAAGGCACAGGGAGGGCTTGGCCCATTCCCCGGTCTTGCGGGGGGAAAACAAGTTCAGGAATGAAAGGTGCTTAGTGCAGGGCTCTCTTGAACGGGCAGGATAAACCTCTGAGTAATTAGCGAGCCCACAGAAAATGGCCCTTTTGTTCTCAAGTTCGCTCCCGTGCCCTTTTCCTTCTCTCTCCCCCTATTGACGCGCCAGCGGGCTGGTAACGAGCCCGTCTCTAAAGCTGCATTTCAATTAGACCCCCGAAGTCATTGTGGAGGAGGGAGGAACTCACCCTGCTTTCATTGAAATGCTTTTCCTTCAAAGCTAGACTCTTCCAAAACAGAAGGACGTGGTCGTTTTCTGTTATGATTTTTAAGGCATCAGGTGCGGACAATGAAACTGAAAATTAAAGATACAGCAGGATGCGGTTAGTGGCTATGTATTGCAATCGCTGTTCTCTCTGGTCAGAGGGAGATTAAATAACGCCAACTTGAAAGGCTAGCTCAAGGAAGGAACGGAACCCATGTGTTGCTTAGTACAGAGCCTCACACAAGGTAGACGCTCCCTAAGTGGCATCTCTCTTGCTGCCGTTATAATACCTTTGGCCAAATCTGGATAGCACCTACTCTAGTGGCCCTCAGAGCCACAGATGGCCAAAAACAAATTGGGTCGGGGAGAAAGGGAGGGGGTGGGATGGACCACGGTTCCAGAGCCTTCCTGGACTTCTGCTCTGGTTGCAGTCTGCTTTCCTGTCTCCCTGGTCCCACCCCAAGACCTGAGGAGCCTGACTGCTCAGTGAGGGGCCAGGGACTGTACCCGACAAGAGAGCCCTGGAGTGACACTGGAGCCAGGCCCTGACCCGCTGCTCACACCGCCAGCCTGGTGGGGCCTCTGTCGCGGACATTCTGACACTGTCTGCTGCTAGCCAGGTACCTGAGCTCGTGACCTGCTTTCTGAACTAGAGTCTGACGGCTGAGCCAGCTCTGGACTGGCAGCAAGCCCCCTTTAATACGCTGCCCAATTCTTGGTCTCCCTCCTTGGCCGCAAGAAACCACTGTGATTTCAGCCTAGGTTCCCATCCTCGGCTTTCGTGGCAAATGCTGTTTCACTTCCTACCTCTTTGGGGCATTCCTGCCCTTGGCCCCTAAAAATGTTGAAACCAGCTAGGCAGAAGGAGAGCGAAAGCGATGCAGGATACGGAGAATGACAGCCGCCCCCCCAGGCCACCACCCTGTAGCCCAGGCCCTGGAACCCTGCCCTGCCCGCCAGGTGTGGATACCGACACTTCCCGTGCAGATCCTGAGAGATGTTGTGCGTCTACGGGCTTCCTAGCAGCCCTGTGGGTACCTTGCTGTGCGAGAGGGCTCCTCATCTCTCTCCTGTTTACCTGTGGTGATTTTTATACTGGAATCTTTGCTCATGTTCCCCAGTTGGACAATGACGTGGTATTTTCCTCCAGGTTGCAACTTGTTAAGGGTGTATTCCACAGTACTGTTGCGGGATCTTATTTTGTAGCTTCTATCACTCTTCCTTATCAGATCTTTAACCGCAATTGCATACAACTAGAACAGGAAAAAGAGACCTTAAGGGTAATCAGAAACTTGGCATTTTTTAACTCTTTGCAATTCGATGGTGGATGACAGAACATAAGCGCATCAGTGGCTGCGACCCAGAGCAACGATGTTTTGAGCCCCACAGTCTGACTCTGCTCTTTGGAAAGCCTTTGGGGGTGGCCAGGTCCAAATCTGGAACAGGTATTTGCTCCCAGAACTGTGCACAGAATTATCAATTCAACCCAAAAAACAAGCCTAGGGAAAGTTACATTTATTGTGGCATCAGCAAATAGGTTGGAACAGGCAAGAAAAATCCAAATTGAGTGTTCAGAGCATCTCCTCAGCTGTGATGGTTTCGGGATGCTGTCAGAGGAGATAAAAGGACAAAACGCTCTGCTTATTCTCTCCCCCCGATTGCTTCTTACATATATGGAAGCAAGAGGAAAAGACAGGGCCATGTGGTAAGTGCAGGAGATTCCATCACCAGGAAGAAGCTGAGAGTCAAGGAAAGCCTTAGCAACGGAGCATCTAAAACCATCCACCCCAGGGGCGCTCAGTGGGTTAAGTGTCTGACTTCGACTCAGGTCAAGATCTCACGGTTTGTGAGTTTGAGCCCCACATCTGTGCTGACAGCTCGCAGCCTGGAGCGTGCTTCAGATTCTGTGTCTCCCTCTCTGTCCCTCCCCCACTTATGCGCCCCCTCTCTCTCTCTCTCTCAAAAGTAAATAAGGGGTGTCTGAGTGGCTCAGTCGGTTGAGCGTCCGTACGACTTTGGCTCAGATCATGATCTCATGGTCCGTGAGTTCGAGCCCCACATCGGCTCTGTGCTGACAAGTCACAGCTGGAGGCTGCTTTGGATTCTGTGTCTCCCCCTCTCTCTGCCCCTCCCCACTTGCGCTCTGTCTTTCTCTCTCTCTCAACAATAAAC